TCCTTGTTTTATATTGGGTTGTATTCCTCATTCATTTTCCTTCAATTTGATATATCATATGTTACGTTTGGAGTGACGGTTATGTTTCTATGAAGTTATTTTGTACACCACCTGATTAGCCAAAGCGAGCCAGGGGTTAATTATGTACAGACCCCCAAAAAAACTGCGTCCAAAAAGAGTTAAGGTCACCCTTTTAAAAACTATGTTCAGTGTAGGTTCATGGCTGCACAGGAACCCCCAAAGTATAGGCCTACCTAACTAACTGACTGGTAACACTTTTAGTTTCGTTTTAATAGAGGTTATACGGTGCTCGCAACGGCATAAGGTCATATGAGCGCCAATGGTAACACTTTGTATCATAGATTTTTTCACAAGACGCTTTTTTAACACACTGGCTACCTGTGCCGCTTATAAAGTGGTCACAGTACCGTTTCCACCGACTACCTTTGCCGCAGCCCCAGCTGTTTTAGAAGTTCAGAAGGTTTGTTTCATGCTATTAATGCAGCATATACGGTGTGGGTGCTGTTTTTAGAAACTGCAAGCACTTCCGCACCAAAACAGATCAAAGGCCCAACATTCCCTCTTCTTCAAAGAGGTTTAATAATGGTAGTACTGGAGGTCGCAGCTGTGACATCACCCAAAAAAACCCACTATAGTGTGGGCCTACCAGCTCGCTTTGTCGCCATTTTGGAGAGGATCAGAAACAGCGCTGCCACACTGCGCATCTCTCGCAACACCTAGGTCTTCATAGAGATTGAAGCTCAGTTCACTTTTATTTTTGGCTACTTTTAGTTTTAGTAAGAATTTTACGGCACTTACAACACAATAAGGTCATATAAGTGATGAAGATTAGAGGTGTTACAAGAGAGTAACAAACCCAAAATAGAACAAAGGGAGATAAGGACAACAGATGTTTGATAGGAAAGAAGGAGCAAACCACACCAGAACACCTGCCAACCACCCTCTTGGCTACTTTATTCTCTCATCTCAACAACATCGACAGTGGTTCTTTGCCATTCAGCCAGCCTTGAAGGTGAGCTAGAGTTGCTTGCTGCTGAAGCTTCTAGCAGCTTTTCAGTCAAATAATTACAGATTCCAGAGGGCCGATACGAACGCCTTGCTGTGGTCAGCGGTGCTAAATCTAGACATACTGTTTGAGCGACACACAGCAAAAGATTTCATTCAGTAAAATTAGATGTTTTCTTATTTTATCAGAGTTCCACTGTATTTTTCTAGACTCACATGGAGCATGTGGAAACGTTCTAGACAGCCGGGAGATGAAATCTACAAGTTTACACTGAAACATGGGGCAGGTAAAGAAGTGGAAGCAACCGAAGCTCCACCCAAATTTTGGTCCACCCACCCGCTTGAGTCTGGATGAGACCCAGTCGCTGTCATCAGTTAAACTTAATGTGGGGGTTAGTTGTAGATCAACAGTCATCACTGTCACAAAAATTCAACTAGATCTAGAGTAACTCTAATCCAAGAGTGGTGGTACTGGTAGAATGAAAAACTAGGAATAATATATAGTATGGTAATTCCTTTTCAAAAAATCTAGTGTATCAAAATAAGTATTCTTTTACTTTTTCAGTGAGTTACGTTTGAAATTTTCTTGAAAATACTTGATTCGCAGAGGCTATGTTCACAACATCATGAACGTAGTTTGCAGGCTCCGTTCGCGGAGCCCTGAAAGAAAGTAGTTTGCAATTTGAAGAAAGATCTTGCTCACTTCACCCCCTACCCTTTTTCTTTTTGCTTCTTCTTTTTTTCACCCCCTTCCACCCCTCTTCCTGCCTTGGCCTTCTTCCAATCTCCCTTGAAGTCTAGCGTTGCCGGGTCCGCACACGCATTAAATCTGCAGATTACCCCCTTCAAGTTTTGGTGGTGCGTGAGCGTTATAATTTATTTATTCTTTAAAATTTTGTTTCGGGGGTTTGCATTTATACTTTAAAACATGTGGTGTGCGTCTGGCAAGCACCATTTTCCTTCTCTATCCTGAAGCCGAGTCAATTGGATAACACACCCACACACATGACACGGCACTGGCAGTCACCTTTTATCTGTGTCAGAAGCAGTCGAACTAATCAAGCAGGCCTTTTGATATGCACGTTGATGAAAAGGATGTGATCCATGAGGCTTGAGAGATTTTCACGAGGGAAAAAATCTTAAGTCTGGAAAGACTGGAATATGAACCCTGGGATGGCTCTCAAGAATAATGAATCAGTTATTTTATAAATTTGGTTTGTCAACTTTATTTTATTTTTTATATTGGCTCAACCAACACCCTTCCTCCCTCCAAGTGGACTGCTGTTACATTGAAACCTTACAGTTAATCAAAAACCGTTAGCGTTCAATCATAGTCATAGTAATTCTGTGTGTGACTGTGAATGTGCGTGCAAGTTAAATGTTTACATGCGAAAGTTTTTACTATATACTAGATTTAGATCTATAAAATTAGGAGATTATTGACTGATGTTCGTCAGACATTCAACAAAAAAACCCGACCCTTTTTATTAAGTTTATATAGGAAGGGTTTTTAAACCCCATAAGATTGAAAACCAAAGGAAGAAGGAACTTTTAAAGTTTTTAAGTTGTCCTGAAAAGTGGAGCCCTGAAGTCATGTTCCGTGTGCTGAGCGAGTGAGGCCTTGTCGACCTCGACAGTTTTGCTGTGCCCACCTTCGCCCTCCATAAATTCCGTTGCATTGAAACACCACTGCATTATAATATTTTTCACGCGAGTATTCCTGTGCTGTTTCCTCATTCACTTGGAGTTCGAGAGACCATAGCGTTTCAGTCGTACCTCTATGACAATGGCGGATGATTCCGTAACCGGTCATTTCGTCACAAACTTCTCTTGTCCTCCAAAATGTTTATTCTTTATGCTAGTAGACATTTGGAGCATCAGCCTAAAACTATCTTTAAGCTTTTTTAAACTGTTCCATAGCTGAACAATAGTTTTTGAAATAAGGCAAAAAAACAATGTGTGGTAAAGAGTTACTAAGGCTTTTTTTGAAAGTAAGGGTCTAGCTTTTAGCAAAATTGCAGTACGCCTACCGTACATTTCTATCTATTTACAGCTAGCTATCTTATTTTTTTAAACAAAACTTTCTAATAAATTATATAATATAATAAATGATCTCGCCAATCACACCTTTCATCAATAAATATAATTTTTAAAACTTTGTTGATCTGTCTCGATAGATTTCAATATTGTCAATAGTCCTACATATTTAACATAATTAATGAACAGTGCAGCTGATCAGGTAGGCACGAAGACTCGCACAGCCACCCCCCCCCCCCCCCCCATCTGTCCCTCCACACACACCCCCAACCTTCCCTCAAAAATATATCGTGATTTGCAATGCCAAGACAATGAATGTTTGATGTTCACAAGTGTGCTATAAAATGATCGTCTCCATTCAACTTTGTGGATTTGGGGTGTGGCGAGATGACTGGCGAGATGACTGACGAGATGACCGACGTCTTGACTGCGCCGGTGTGACGAAAAGACCGTGTGATAAAATGACTGGATCTGGTATTCGATGATTTAGGGTGCCCTGAACGAGGCATACAAACTACGTTCGCAGTTGATTTCAGAGTTTTAGCGGCTTCATTATATGTGTGTAATCTGCAGCAAACAAAAGGTCTACTGAGTTATGACCCCCGAAGCAGTGCGCAGCACCTGTGTGTGGGTGTGAAAGTAAAAATTTACCAATCAACTTCAACTACTCTAGATCTTGTTCTAGATCTAGAGTAGATCTAGATCTAAACAATAAAGGCCTACAATACATAGCCTAGGCCTAGACCTAGGTCTTGTTTTAGTCATAATCTTCGTGAATCCCAGTTGCAGAGGCAGTACGTGGTTCTCACATGGGCACTTTTTCAGTAGTTCCCACCCCGCAATTGTTATTTGCTGGTTTTGGCCCCAAGAGTAGGTTTCAGGGGGGCTTGCCCCCCTCTGACCTAATTATAAAAATACGGTGGGGGGTTGCAGGGGGCATGCCATAATTTGATGTTTTGCAGTTAGTTGTTAGATCTAGGTTTGATTGGTTTGATATCTTAGCTCGCCGTGATCAAACGTATAGACCTAGAGATCTAGATCTAGACTAGATGTAGATCTAGATCTAGTCTCAAATAAGGGAGGTGGGAACTACCGAAAAACCACCCTCACCTGTGTAGGGTAGGGACCGCGGGTAGGCATTGATCTATCTAGAGTCTAGATCTAGTCATCTAGAGATAGAAATAAGAAAGATCATTATAATATCTTGATACTAGAAATCTATCTAGATCTAGAAATCTCTAGATATTAGATCTGCAGATCTAATCCACATTTCTATTATTTTCTAGCCTGCTTGATAAAGTTTAAAGTTTAAAAAAAAAGCAAGTGGCTATTCTCCGGCGTCGCGCTGGTCAATAGATTTTTGGGCTCAGTTTGCATCATTTCAAAATTTTTCTTGCATAAAGGCATAAACGACAGGGACAGATAATTCTGAATTGGAGAAATTGAGGCAGTTTGTGTCTGATAACATATCGTCAGTATCAAAGGAAGTGGCACGAAGTGGTGAAGTTACATTACAGGAGAATTTTTCCAAAAACAAACAGATGAGAGAGGTTGCAAATCTGCACCGACTAATAGAATCTAATTCATTATTAGATCTAATAGATCGGCGGTGTGACGCCGGAGAATAGCTTCCGATCTATTGACCGGCGCGACCCAGAGAATAGCCACTACCCCACTTGCTTAAAAAAATCCTTTAACTTCTTATTTATTTGTTGTCAATTGTCAACAAATTTGACATTGACATTGGCCCTAGGCCCTAGGAGACTAGACTCTAGATTCTTGATCTAGATTCTTTTAATAGGCCTACAGATCTAGATTTAGATCTAACATATCGTCTAGATCTAGAAAATCTACTGTAAACAGACTAAATTTTCTAGGCCTTGTGTTTTCAAACCAACAAGTGTCAAAAATAGAGGTCAGTGGTTGGATGAACTTACCGTACGTGTGCTAGCAGACGAACTTGCTGCCATAGATCTTGCTACATCGTTTTTGCTCAACAGGTGTGCTTCGAGAGTTCTCTTTAGTCCACAGGAAATGTTCTGATAAATAGTATATCAATTTCTCAAGGGTCATGGTGCTGGCATATTGTCGAAAACACTGGGTTCACCACCTATCCACGGCCGACTTTTTTTTTTATTTTTCTTTTCTTGCTCTTTTCCATTGCCCTGAAGGCCTACTCGACTTCCTATGACGATGAGATCATCATTCCAATTTTTGCAACATGAAATCACCAGCAACCAATGAAAACCCAGAAACGGAAGAAACTCGGATGTGAAGCTCTTGCGTGCAGAAGGATGATCTGGTGTGCTACTAGGCAGAGAGGGTTTGCAGTAGCCTAACAGAGAGGTGTCACTCCTGGCGTCGCTCCATAACAACAGTGCCTTTTTTCGCATATCGCCCGGCGCGGGGCGCGAAAACCTTTACGCGCGGTAATCGCTGCCACGGTGATGCTCATAAATGCTGTTATGGCTTGAGAAAATGTAGTGCCGCTTGTACATGCATTTAGCTCCACTAGGTTAATAGGCCTTTAACAAAGAAAGAGGTCTGTGAATCGCATATTTTAGGCAACTCCCCTGCCCTCCCTCAGCCGTAAGCTATAAAAGTTGTTTTTTACCTAGGTTATCTTACTTACTTAACTTTTTCCGTCCTCTTGTACCTCTAGGGCGTCGAGGAGAGAAAGAGGTTCCTCTTTCTAGCAAGTTTGAAGGCCTGGCTGGGTTGGATACTGTATGTTCTCAGGGTATCCTTCACACCCTGGATCAAGGTCATTCTTGGTCTTCCGCCCTGTACCCTATACTTTCTCGTAGTAGGCTTTACTGGCAAGCTGGTTAGGTGCCATACGTGTGAGATGTCCAAACCACCTGATCGTTTGCCTTCGATCCCACCATTTCTTGTTTCTGACCATCCCGTCTGGTTTTGTTGACGTATCTCCTTAGACATTTTATATCCAGACTTTTGGTCAGGGTCCATGCCTGGCACTGGTAGGTCCAAGTGGGGATCAAGATAGAGTTAATGAGCTTGGCTTTGGTCTTCATGGGAATGCTATGATGTTTGAGGAGTGGGGCTAGCGTAGCTGACGCTGTTAGCCTTTTGTACTCTCGTCTCAACTTCTCTGTTGAGACGTCTGTCTTCCGAAAAGATGCTACCACGATACTTGAACTCACTGACTTGTTTCAACGGATTTCCGTCGGTGGTGATGTTAAGGTTGCCAGGTGTTCAGCTGATTTTTTTCATCGCCTCCGTTTTGCTTTTACGGATCTTCATGTTGAGCTTTTCACATTGTGTATTCAGCCTGTTTGTGTGTTCTTGAAGTTGCTCTTCTTTCTCATATTATGCCAAACTTTGATCGTCCGCAAACAGCATCTCATTCAGGTCTACCGGGTTGGGGTTTGCAATTTTTTACATGTATTAAAAATAGTGCCTCTCAAAGTCCAACCCTTCGTCCTCGTCGGGGGAGGTGGAAACAGGACAAAGTAGAGGATAGCTGGGTATAGGTGAAGTACGGTGTGACTTTATGTCACTGAGGAGCCGTGAAGGCCGACCCGGGTCACCCCGGAACGTTGCTGGCTAAAGGGGCTCTGGTGAAACTGTGACTGGCCTAGCAAGCCGACGGCAGATAACTACTGCTACGAAACAATCAAAGGGGAAAACACGGACAGATTCAAACAGAAAACGACCAGGAAAAGTAAACGGACAGCGAGCTAGAACAACCATTAAAATAAGCACTTGGAATGTCAGCGGACTTGGAGACAAAGAACCAGAAATATTGTATTTCATGGAAAGAAAGAAAATAACAATCTTGGGCTTGTCAGACATAAGAAAGGGGGGCAACAGCAATGGAGAAATTATACTAAACCTATGCGCTGAGCACGACATGATGGTTACGAACACATTTTTCCAACATGGACAAAGCCAAATCAAGACCTGGTACAAATGGAGTGACCTGAACCATGCATCACAAATTGATTTCATCCTGATGCGCAGAAAACAAAGACATACAGCCAAAGATTCGAGAGCGGTTCCAAACTACATCATCGACACGGACCACAGACCTGCGATACTTACTCTCACAACCAACAACGTAAAGCAAACAAAGAAGAACAGTGGAAAAACCACGACAAACCTACGAAAATTGGAAGAACCAGATTTCAAGAAAGCAGTCGAGGATGACATTACCAAGGAGTACTATAAACTGTCACCTCAGATCAAGGACATAGAAGACGAATGGCAAATATTCAAAAAATCCCTGTCAGAAATACTGAAAAACAGTTGTGGCACCAAACGAATAGGCGGAAACAAAGGCAGAACAACATGCTGGTGGAATGATGAAACCAAAGAAGCAATTAGAATGAAAAAGAAGAAATTCAAGAAATGGCAGAAGTCAACGACCGAAGAAGACTATAAAGAATACAGGAAAGCGAGAAGAAAGACCAAAAGAATCGTCAAAACTGCTAAAGAAAATGCATGGATAATATATGGTAAGAAACTTACCAAAATCTGCAAGGAGAGCCAAAGAGAATTTTTATAAACGTGCGAAGAGCATGCGGATAAGGAAAGACCCATACAACCCGACATGCATTATAAACGACAAAGAGGGAAACGCCATTCTCGGCAAAATGCAATTAAGAAAAGAAGGGAAAATTACTTCCAAAAACTGCTCAACCTAGACGTTTGCCACGGACAACAAGTAGAGTTCCAACCATCATATGGAGATCAAACAGAACCACCAATACTTCCCAGTGAAATAGAAAAGGCACTCAAGACTAGTCCCAAGAACAAAGCCCCAGGACCAGATGACATCACAGCGGAAGCCATAAGAGCTTGTGGAAACACCGGTATACTGTGGCTGAGGCGAATTTTCAACAGAGCCTGGGAACAAAGAAAATACACAGAAGACTGGCAGAAAGCCATAGTGGTACCATTATGGGAAAAAAGGGCAACAAACGCGACTGCACAACATATAGAGGCATCTCATTGTTAATCCACTCCGGAAGAATGTATGCAAAGATACTAGAGCAGCGCATTAGACCTATTGTAGAGAGAAATCTGAGCAAAGCTCACTTTGGATTCCGAAAGGGAAGAAGATGCACGGATGCCGTATACGCATTACGACAGATATGCAAGAAAACAATCAAACACAAAAAAGAATCCAACATCGTCTTTATAGACCAGGAGAAGGCTTTTGAGAGAGTAAAACATGCAAAACTCTGGAAGACTCTCGAAAAGTATAGTTTCAGAGGACAAATGTTATTTTGTTTATTTTTTTATTTTTGGTAAGTGTTTTACGGCGCTCGCAACTGCATAAGGTCATATGAGCGCGTGGGACATTCCTAATATTTTAAGTTGGTAGGAAATTTTGAATTTTGCCCGGGTGACGACCGAAGCCTACTCTTATCGATTTTAGACCCCCAAGGGATCTTTAACGTGCGCAACTTGCACACGGGCCCTCCGAGATTTTTCGCCCTTGTCCGAGAAGGCTAGGTGTAGATCTTGCCTACCAGAAGATCAGGGGTGTGGCAGAAAGACAGCAGTAAGGAGGAGCCAAGAAGTAGCAGTAGAAAGGCTGCAGAAAGAGTCAGCTAGGAGCCCAGAAGAGGGGGCAAAGGAGGTGAGGGGGTGGGGGCAGAAAGTGGAAACGAAAGCAGACAACAGAACATTGCTAGAGAGCAGGAAAGGAGGTGAAAGGAGACAATTTTAGAGAAGAAATGTTTTCGGTCGCTACCCGGATTCGAACCCAGGACCTTTGAATGAGAGGCCAACACCTTAACCTCTAGGCCACGAGAGCCCCCGGACAAATGTTAGATAATGTCAGAGCTCTATACACCAACAGCAGAAGCTCAATGAGAACGAAGGAAGGCAATACAGACTGGTTAAAAGTAAGATCTGGAGTACGACAGGGACGCGTTTTATCTCCCCTCCTGTTTATAATAAATATGGACACAATAACGCAAGAAGCAAACCAAAGCCCAGAAAGCCTACATGAATTTCTATTCGCAGACGACCAATTTCTTATTCATCATGACCAAGAAAGCCTCCAAAATCACTCTACCGAACTCAACAACACCTGTGAGAAATTCAACATGAAAATAAGCACATCAAAAACAGAAGTTATGAAAGTGACCCGAAACCATAGATCTAGTCCCCTGAACATCCATGTCAATAGTAAACATCTGAAACAGGTGAAGGGGTTTAAATATCTTGGCAGCACTTTTTCTGAAAACGGGTCCATAGACAGAGAAAGAGAAATGCGAACTAAAAAAGCCAACGCAGTCACCTACCAGCTCTCACCCCTCCTATCTCATCCAAACATCTCCATGGACACAAAGAGACAACTTATCACCTCAATATTCATAATATCAACATTATATTACCAGTGCCAGACCTGGACGTTAAGCAAAACCCATGAAAGCAAAATCACCGCATGCGAAATGAAATGTTTCCGAAAAACCCTTAACATCACAGGACGAGACAGGCAGAGAAATGAAGAAGTAAGAGCAGCTATCGGCACCGAGTCCTGCCTGCGTTACATGCATAGAAAGATAGAGGATAAATTAATAGTTTGGCCACCTGTTACGCATGTCACCTGACCAGCCAGCCTCGAGAGCCTACAACACCAAGCACTCAGGCTATAAAGGAAGAGGAAGGCCACGCAAAAGGTGGATCGAGGGTCTCAAGGAAACCTTAAGGGGGGGGGGGGGGGGGGGGGGGGCTACACCTGGAGGCTATCTCGCTTATTACTGGACCGAGTTTTACCAAATTTCACACATATAACAAGCATAGTAAGAAGTCTAAAAATCCGCAATCAAATTTGAGAAAAAAGTTTCGTTTCCATGGATACGCCGCCATATTGGATTTTATTGACATGTCTTACGTAATGAATACCGCACTTATCGCTCATGGAAATTAATTGTTTTTTTGCATGCGTGTTCACAAACATTAGATCTAAAAATTTGTTTGTTGTTTTTTTCCTAATCGAATTAGAACATTTTTAATGAATTTTTTCCTGAGGTAGCATTCAAGTTTGCGAAAAATCCGTGAAAATTCACACTCCAGACACCACCAACAAAAATCTATTCCATATATCAAAAATTCAACAGACAAATTTTTAGTATTACCTCTTTTCTTCATTCTGTGAAAATGTCATGAAGATTGGATGAAAAATGGTGGAGTTATTCAAAAAAGTATAGAGAAAAGTTGCATTTTGAAACGGCCGATAAAGAAAAAGAAAATACTGACTTTATGAGGAAATGGCGGTTACAAACATGCCCGGAATAGGAAAAAATACGGTTTTTGGGGGTTCTTGTGCCATGAAATAGTTGTAGGAGAGGCTGGGGAAGCTAAAAATGCCTACAACTCAAATTCTCCCCTCGACGCGTAAGGGGAACAGAGGATGAAAAAAAGGAAAAGTTAGTATTAAAAATAGTAGCGGTGATAACACATATACCCTCGTCTCACTCCAGAAGACACGATCTAAGTTATTGACGCATACATTATTAGCTTGTCAATGATCGACGAAAATGCCTTGAACAATGGACGCAGATTGTTTTGTTTACTGCGCTTTACACCACGATCAGCTGGTGACCCAGATACGCGTATTCGGGCGAAGTGACAGCTCTCTTGTATTACTGTAAAACGCTCTGGTCTTGGCCTCGATCAAGGCGAGCCCGGACCATAGATTTTATTTTACACTACTAGTACTACTAGGCACCTATGGCCCGGACAAAATAAAGCGAAAGTAGGTTTGGCGAATATTAGCGATTTAGCGGAAAGTAGTGATGGGCCGATATCACAATTTAGGTATCGATGTCGATACCTAGTACTTTTTCAAGGTATCAATATTGATACCTCGATACCTAATGCTATTAGTAACATACGCCGGGGGTAATAAGTAAAGACAAAAATACAACTATACTACTTTTCCAAGAATTTAGGTAATCGTGTCTAGACAAGTTGTGACTATTTAGCTGAGACTCAAACAAAAATTATTTGTAAAAGAGAGAGAGAGAGAGAGAGAGAGAGAGAGAGAGAGAGAGAGAGAGAGAGAGAGAGAGAGAGAGAGAGAGAGAGAGAGAAATAAATATCCAAATATGAGAATAAAAACAAAAATTAAGTGAAGTATGGGAGGAAAGTCAACTTTGCAGAAAATATTAGTATTGGAAAATAAAAACAGAAGAGTTCTAAAAAGGCAATTCAATTTACCAGATTTTTAGCAACTTTAAATTAAACCAATGAGGATAAATCAGGGTTGTCAGTGAAGATTTTGCAAAATCACTAGATACATTTCATGAAAAACTTCTCTTTTTGTTAAAAGATCACTAGTTTAATTTAAAACGCTTGCCCCCAACGAAAACTTATCAGTTTTGATCAACAAAAAATTCCCAAGGCCCAAGTCACTTGCTTTGGCAGCCGTGGGATAAATAACACCAATGATAGTTAGAGCAGGTATCAGTACCAATTCCGATTCCTATAGGTATCTAAGTATCGAGTACCAGGTATCGATACCTGCCCATCAGCGTCACTCACTAGCGGGAAGTGCGGAGAGCGGATGAGCCATGAATGAGCTGTTGACATTTTTACTGTTACTACTGTGACGTTCAAGAACAAGTCTGGCGAGAGAGGTTTAGGCCTAGATTTCTCTAGAATCTACTTACTTTGTGTCCCCTATCTGAATTACTGAAATATTTCTAGATCTATATTCTAGATCTAGATATCTAGATCTAGAATCTAGAGGTTTTTTCTTCAGAACATTTATAGCCAGCACTGTATTTTCAATCGTAGTGTCTACGTACTCGGTAACCGGGCACCTAGATTCTAGCCTCAGTGTCTACACGTACACGGTAACCCGCAACCGGGCACGTAGTCTCAGTGTCATGTACACGGTAACCGGGCATGTAGCCTCAATATCTACGTACACGGTAACTGGCAACGAGGCATGTAGTCTCAGTGTCACCAGAGACTATATAATTAAATACTCTCTGGTGTCACGTACACTGTAACCAGGCAGCTCAGAACTCCACGTTCAGTTTCTGCAATCCGGTGTTGCCATCATCCCCACCCCTCCCCCAAATGTACCTTTTAAAAAAAATCAATAATCTC